ACCCAGCCCCTCCCCACCCTCCCCTCTCCACCCAGCCCCATCCCTCCCATTTCTGGATGCACGACAGACGGACGGACACAATAATCCCCTGTGGGCTGGTGTAACCAGGTTCCTACCAGTATAAAACTGCATATCGTTAAAAATAACGACACCGTTTGCGCTACAGTATAATTTGGATATAGGCACACCTTATGTAAGCACACCAATTTAAGTAACACATACTGTACTTACGCTACACTGGTGGGGGAAGGCAAACGGCAACTTTTCATACAAGCACACGTCGGATATAAGCACAGGAAATTCCTCGCAAAGTTATCTTTATATTCAGCGTCGACTGTGTACGTACTCTGCTTACATGCAATGTAGCTCAATCATTACGACTTGAAAGGTTTTAAGCAAGTGTAAAGCTCAAGACCAATGCACTCCCTCTTGGCAAAACGTCGGCCTGTGCACCGAAGTTACGATACCGGCAATCTAAATGCAGCACACCGCTGTCCATTTCTGTAATAAATGATGTAATGCGATAGAGGGCTTAAGTGAACCCTTCCAAGCCTCCCTTTAATGCTAATGATTCCAAGTAATGACTACCCCAACTTGAAACCCCACTGCTCTGGATAGGGGAATGTCAATAAAGCATTTTCTTCATGGGCAGTTACACTGATTGATTATTTCCAGTAATGAAGACTTCAGCTATTAAAAGGAAAAAAACCTGCCACGCAAGTGACAGGATGCCCAATGAATGAACTTCTGCAAGACTGAAATGTATTCACGAAGCTGCGAGGATTACTCTTAAACATTGCTGCAATAAACATTTACTGCGGCACATTCTCAACGAAATAACATTTGTATTCATGGATTTTGAGCACTTTGAAGAGAAATCGTCATCATTATCCTCTTGATTGAATTACAAATGTTTGCCCATCGTTCCATGCTGACATAGCCGAGCGGTAGGGCGTTCGCCGTTCGTTGCAGAGGCTCGCGATTTGAATCAATCGGCCGCCCTGATAAATACTGGGGGTGTAAGAACCAAAGAACACGCCCCGTCTCCTTCACAATCGACATTACGGATTCCGTGACATCATTGAAAAGCGGAGGCCACTGTGTCGGCGTCATGGTTAACATTTTAATAAAAATGTACTCTATTGGAATCGACACAACTATCAACACCCCCCCCCCCCCCGACTGCAAAAACTACTGATTATGAATAATATTGGTCGCGAAAGCCTACGTGTTAAACTCCTGAAAAGGAGTCGTGAGATTCCGTGAGGCCTTTCTAGGTAAAACACATTCCTGCGGAGGGAGCTGGTAGGAAGGTTGGGTTGCTCGGTCAATGGGCAGGGTCAACGGCGGCGTGGTGTATTCCGCAAATATGGCAGACTGAGGGCGGGCACAAGCCGGCGTGAGTAGGTTAAACGTTGAGTTTTATAAGGGCACCACGGGGTGACCAGCCCCTCCCTACCTAGCCCCTCCCCTCACCCTGTGTGGTAGAAACCATGAAAGTCTCATTCGCAAGAGTGACCGAAATCCACGAAATGACAAAACCAAAAAAATATATAAATAAAGAATAGCAATGAAGCAAATAGAACTGAGAGCAAAAACAACTGTGTGGCATGGAAAATCGAAAATATTGCACAAATATAAATCCATGTCCTGATAATAAATGTAGGTTTAACACGTAGGCTTTCGCGACAAATATTATCCATGAAACAGGATACTGCAAGTTTTCTGGGTTAGATCGCGTAAATGTGTCGTTAAACCCGCCACCACCCGACGCACATAAACACAACGTGCCAATTCGTTACTACTACAGCACACCGGTGTGTTGGAGAGCAAAGCCACAACAATTACAATTGTAAAATGATTGTAAATGTTGTGGCAGGACTAGTAACGAATTGGCATGTTCTGTGTACGTGACGAACTTTACTAATTGGCTGTGCCGGGTGGTGGCGGGTTTAACGACACATTTATATATTTACACGATCCAACCCAGAAAACTTGCGTTATGGATAATAAATGTAGTATAGACTTGCCAATTTCATCTGTAGTTTTACATTTCGCAAGGGTTCTTAGGCTCACGACGCATGCGACAATACGAGTAAGAAATTATTACTTTTATGCAAATCTAACCTATTAGGGTCATGGAGAGAACAAAACTGTGCAAACAATATGTAGAAAAGTGGAATACAAACGAGATGGTACAAACGAGATTAAAAATGTAAAATTTGCATCGCGACAATGAATCATGGCAATTCATCAAATCACCAGTGGAGGGGTGAATCATCACATACTCCGTTACATTCGTGAAGGCCGCGTGGCTCGACTCCTTACAGCGGTTAACCGCACATTCTCTGCTTAGTGTTGTGGCCAGTGTCAGAAAAATGCCCAATAAATCAAGGCTGCTCCTGGTTCCTCTCACCGTCGCATCCCTAAAACCAGTCAACCTGGCGAAGAATGTGTAACTTATAAAAAAACGGATGGAATGATGAGTGTAAGGGCTGTAATGGCACGATATCGAATTGGAAAGTTGACAACATACGATAAGATACAAAGAAGATGAGAAAAAAACTTTTTTTGCAAAAGCGTGATCATAAAATGTGGGAGTGAAGCATACAAGGAAGGGTACTGCAAAGTGTGAGGACATTGAGAAAAGCCACTTGTAACGTGGTACAAACCACGCTCCGTTGGTGTCCATGTTCGTGGCGGCAAAGTTAGTTAGAGCAATGCTGGAAATTTACTTTGCAGACATCCTGAAGGAGGAACAACTCTGTGGTTTCAAGTGGCTGGCTACACACTATTTTAAGGAGCATCACCATCTAGAAAACAAACCAGGTTCACTTGGAAGAAGCAATGAGTGCCAATGTCGAAGCCGTTGGACCTTTCAAGGAAAAGTTTAAAGGCATTCTTGACAAGGAACCCACTCCCTGGGAAAAAAAAATCAGCTTATGCCTACGAATCTAGCCTGTTTTGGGAGATGCTGCAGTCCAACATGCTGGCTAGTACGTCTTGAAGGTCACACACCACGGGAAGGAAACCAAACAAGGAAAGACTGAGTGTTCCTTTCTGTGCCAATTCTCAATAGCGCATAAAACACGTGTGCACAAAAACGCACAAACCCGCAGATGCAAGTGCACATACGGACGTCAAAACACAATTGTTTGCAGCATGAATTCGCGTACTCTGGGCGGAAGACATCTTGTTATGTGTCCTTTAGGCAAGGGAGCTTACATGCACACACGGATGCACGTGCATCTACACCAACACACACAGTCACAGCACTGCCATGAAGCAAATGTCAAAGAAATAAATGAATGCCTTTAAAAAACACGTGTTTCCGATGTTGTCCAATAGCTATATAGATCCGGGAATTAACGAGTAAGTTGTACAATTTTAGTAGCGAATGGTTAAAGGGGTATTAAATTTTATTTTTCTAAAAACATGGATAGATCGACGATGGCATTTTCCCAGGCACAGCATGAAGTGGTCTTTTGGCTCCCTTCGAAAAACAGTTTAGTTTTTATAAAAAAAAAACAACTGCTAGAACACACACGTGTAAACTTAAAAGCTCAGAATATTTAAAGAACCAATTAATTATAAATGAATCCCAACCTCGCTCATTAGCATTTTTTAAATAAAAGTCAACCAAGACATTAAATGTTTTGTTGGCAAGCCAACAGAGACACAAGCTTGCAACCTTGCAAAGTCATTTTGTAGTTTAATAAGAACAATTATGGTATTGCAAGAGAATATATAAATGGTTTGAAACGTTGCCAAGGAATGTGGAAAACACATGCACTCCAATCGCAGTGAAAGGTTGCTCATGCATTTAAACTGTAACAGGGAGATTTTAAATTGGAATTGATACTTGGAGGATTCGTGTTCTCCACCAAAAATGCACATCACACAAAACTGTGAAATAATAAAATGTGCACGACGCATCAAAATTAGCGCCGCATTCTGAGGCTTTGCTTCCATTTGTCAAATGCTAAAATGGCCCCAAGCTAGAGTGGCACTAAGCCAAATTACTCTGCGGGCAAGCGGCAATGGCAACAGCACATGTCCTGGCTTGTCCACTGGTTGTCTTTCAGTGGGATTTGTCTGCCTTAATATAGGCTTTTCACCCTACTCTAATCACAGTGCTAAACCTATCTCTGGCATTACTAAAATTCTGCTTCCAGCTTCACGGGTTGTGCAGTACCTGCCACAAAAGTTATTGGCTTTGTTTTCATATTCTTAGGTTTTTTCGGTAAAGTTACCTACGTGACTTTACAGAAAAAACCTAAGAATATGAATCCTTGCAGTCACGAAAGCTTCAAATCTAGAATTATTGGCTTTGGTGGCAACTTCCAGGAATTGTGATTTCCTGTACAATTACTGTGCTGAGCCTACATAGGCGAATTCCACGACATCCACGGTTGTACGCCATCAAATAATGTGTCCTTTTCGCAACGAACCTGATGTCCAGACTTTGATTCCAGGCCACGGCTAATATCAGTGGTGAGTGAATATCTGGACTGGTCCTCGACCACAATACTCTCCTTTCACTATTTAAAACTCATCGGTGTGGTGAAGTCTAGTCAAACCCCTGCCATGATCAGCACAGCGTTGAGGGGGTCCTTCATCCAGCAGTGAATTCATGTTTAGGCAGTTATTCACATCAGCATACAGTACTGAATTTAACTCGTAGAAAAAGCTTACAAAAGCATGCGGGGCGTTATTTTGGGAACAGCACGCAAAACACCACTTTCTCAGGCTTTGCTCGTAACATATAGTGCAACTTACAGGTGGCATGCATCATGTGTACGTAAGACTACACATATATGGATTGTGGTGAAAATAATTAATCAATATATTCTCCATGGTCTTGTGCAGCCCCGAGGCATCCTGCAAACGAAATCCTGTTTACGTTCGGAAATAGGAGCCCATTTCCCTGCCACGTTCACACAGCTTGCAACGCACACTTCCTTCCCTTTTTAATCACCCATTTGGGAAATGTTTTGGGGGGGGGGGGGGGGTGTCCCCTTTGCACGCCAAAAGATCCCGGTACAGAAAGTTTTACGAGAGCTGCAAGGATTTAAGGATCAACGAACACTTGGTGCGTGAAAACAAGCCGCAGTCACTCAAGTGTCTACAGCCAGATGCTAAACGCGACGTTGTATGTTGCCTGCGACAAATATGACCGAGACGATCAATTACAGTACAGTACGTCGCATGTCCGATCGCTGGATATTCCCCTTGACTAATTAACAGTCCATACCCAGCGCAGCATTTGTGCACGCCGTCACAATCATTTTCTATAGACATTGAAAATAAATGACCTTTTCACACGCGATAATTATTCTTGAATCTTTTTTTAAAAATAGATATTGGCTTGCTTCCAAAGAACAGTAATGCATTCTCCCTTTTTAGAGCGGCTTGTGCTTCGTCTAGTTGCCTATTTGCATATAGTGCAATTGTCATTTATGACAGATGTTAACATCTGACCTTTTCACAAATCCACGCGTACCTCACTCCCCAGCGAGTCGGATATGCGACATTGTACTGTATCTTTCACCGTTATAGCCATGCTATTCTTGCGAATGGCAATTTGTTTGGAAGCACCGAATACCGGTTTCAAATTTAAATTCGTAAAGTTTCACACTGTAGTTCAAATTTGTGGTTTAACGTTAATGTTGTGGTAATTTGACAAGAAATGCTGGCAAAACAAACGTTGCAATTATACTTTTCATGAAAAATATATTTTAGGTACCAACATTTAAGCATAACAAAGCAACATACACAAACATATATTTATTCAGGCAGACAAAATATAAAGTTAACAATAGGATCTTGACTTAAAGCTTTCGTGGCTGCAGGAATTCATATTCTTTGGGTTTTTTGGTAAAGCCACGTAGATATAATAAATAACAATAAAAATAACTATATCACGACGTTTTGATCGCAACACAAACAATCGTCATCCGGTGAAAAATATAGCGGGAGCCCTGCTAAGGCAGGGAGTTATAAAGGTTTGAGATGGGTGTAGCCCAAGGGTCAGTGGGCGGGGCTAAATGTGCTTGTTCTTTCCGAGCTTACATTTACAAGCAAATTTCTTACATTGACATGCTAATCTCTCACCTGATGACGATTGCTTGTGTTGCGATCGAAACGTCGTGATAGTTTTTATTTTTATTATTTGTTCTATCTACGTAGCTTTATCAAAAGACCCAAAGAATATTAATAACACTAGGGTCATTACCAAAATTTGCATAATAAATTCCACACTGTGCAAGTCAAAAACGAAGTACTCGCAAGCAAGCAATGCATTGATGGTTGTGCATCTGAGAACAGGATACTAATGTAAGAATCATTGTATTCTTACAAAAGTATTTAAATATGCTAAGCGTCCTTACATAAATTTCCATTAAAATGTTCATGGTACTTGTTTGGACAATACAGGACCCCAATACCCTGATAATCTGCATCTTACCACACTCTATTGAACCCACATTTCCAAAAATCCTTGGTACTTTTAATCCTGAAACTTAGAAATAAATTGTGCATTTCTGGATATCTTCCGAGAGCCACAAATTCCTCCCATAATTCGTGGCACACCGTGCTAGCTGAGTCAAAATATTTACGAATTCGTTAGACATTCAATGTATTTTAATATACATTAATTTACATTTTTACATGTCTTTGCATTGCAAATAGGCTGCTTCTTTGAAATTGGAGCTCTGATAAGTCTTTGAATTTGGGGGCTGCAGAGAGAATCGCAGAGTTGCAGAGAAAGGTAGGGGGAAATGGGGCATTTTTAAAATGCATTGTGTGTAAACCATGATCTGTACTAAGTGGGCTGGGCTGACACAGGCTTGCAGTGAAACACTAAAACAAAGTATTAATTTACCAATGTTTTTGTTTTCATCAGTGCATACAGCTATGGTGATGTGATTTGTTGAGTCGGGAAGAATTTTGCATTTTGTATATTTAGATATCAAGTCTAAACAAAGTCCAAAGACTCTTTAAACACAGAGCCACACTGGTAGATGCATTTGCTGGTAGTTACATGCCCGTGCTTCCCCTGCAATCTGCACTTTTTTTTGAAGATGAATGAAATCTCGAATATTTTGAGCGTTTTACAGAACTAACCTCTGCGGTGCATTGTGGATGATGGGATCCCTGATATGCTGCCCCCATATCACCGTGGATTGAGTTCTGCTGTACATGGTAACAAAATATTGACTCTTCACTTGCCATACCAAAACAGCAGATAAATATATGGTATTTAACAAACAAAAAACTAATCGGAACATTCAATATGCAAACAGTCAAGTCACAGTATCTCCCTGCACAAATAAGCAATAAGAATGTGATTACTACATGTGCTGGAAAATCTGTGCCAGTGCTTGATATTTCAAATTCCCATCAAGGAAAAGTCTCCCTACCGAGGGCAACCACTGCCGATGTAAAATAAAGTGGAACTGATTTTATCGACCCTGATGGTCTGATGAGATAAGCTAACCAAATTTTTTTTTAAAGGCAAACGCTCGAACGACTGCATGACTCAAAGGATAAATAAAATGACAAAAGTAACCATATTAAACGCGTATCCTTTGCACTGAAAATAAACATGCATTTTACCCAAAATAGCTATCCCTTTAACTTATAAATGATAGACAATAAATACACAGGTCACATTGACACAAAATTGTAGGTTTTTGTAAAACAGCGACAATAAAAAAAAGACTGAGAATAAACAGTTCAACAGAAAACAGGCCATTGTATTTGTCACTCATCTACATGGCATACAAAATGTTACCGAATACATTGCTATACAGAGCTGTAACCCATTAACACAATAAAAAAATATGGAACTAATATTCTTTGGGTCTTACGGTAAAGTCACGTAGATAGATCGCAACACAAGCGATCGAAACGTTGTAGTTTTTTGTTATTTTCTTTGAACCTATCTACGTGACTTTACCGAAAGACCCAAAGAATATGAATTCATGCAGTCACGAAAGCTTTAAGTCGAAATATGGAACATTAATCATTAAGGTTGCCGCAATTGCGGTGCTCATTTAAAAATATATATTATCTGCCATTCGATTTTTGGAATAATCAAGTCAAAGCTGTAAATAGCTATTTACTTATTCTATAAAGTGTTTTCAGCCATAAATGACCATTATCATATAACATGTTTTTTAAGTAAATGACAGCATGAAAGACATAGCAGGCCAATTTTAGAAAGACATGCGCAGACTTAAGTTGAATGAACTGCAGTTAAATAAATAAGATGTAATCTTTATTCACACTTGGAGTACAACAAGAAACCCATACAAATGTGAAATACCAAGTCATGAATTTAAGGGAACTAATTTTGTGATAATCGTCACAGCGTAAAATCTGATTTCGTAGCGTATTGTGAAAATGTATAGCATGGCAACCCTATGATTATTTAAAGTTTCCACGTTACATTTCAATACACTGTACAGTGAATTTATGAGAAAAAAACTTACAGAATGGTATACAAATTGCAAAACTAAGAAAATATTTTTTTCCTAATTTTAATTTTACATTTACTGAGCTTTGTACTAACTTTAGTACAAGTAAAACGACTCACAGATGTTGCACATCAAGAAATATAAGCTTAGTATCAGAAAGTTGCCAAAGTACAGCAACTCCGAAAGATGGCAAAGCTCAGATTGTTTCAGGTCTGCACGATGTCAAATATCATATACATCTTAAAGGAATTAAAATGTGCACTGTTGCTAGAGTCTATGTATGGAATGGAAACGTCTTTGTAAGTTTACATTTCTTTCCATGTTTTTTGGTTTGTTAAACTGCATAAATATAAATGTGTTGTTAAGCCGTCACCAGCCAGCACAGCCAATTAGTACGGTTTGTCATGTAAACTTCAGCACACCGGTGTGTTGGAGAGTAAACCCACAACATTTACAATATAAGTACGACGCTTCACTGGTGATTACAACCAGCTTCATCGCCGGTGTGCTGAAGGAGTAATTAATTGGCACGTTTTGTTTACGTGACAAACATTACTCATTGGTTGTGTCGGTGGTAGCAGGTTTAACGACACAATCATTTATATTTACAAGATCTAACCCAAAAAACCTTTAAGGATATTGGTCGCGAAAGCCTACGTGTTAAACTTACATTGCTGACAAAAATGAAATTCTCGCGTTGCTACTACACACAAAGTAAACATGAAATTAAGCCATTCTGCACACAAATGTCAGATCTTACCACAACCAGCTTGGCTGATAGTCCCTTCCAGACCGAGCAAACAATGAAGCAGATGGCTAGACAAGCATGCCACCTATTGGTATGAATGGATCAATGCAGTTAGCTGAATGTTGGAATGTTTTACATGCACGTTATGCACAAGTCCATACGAAATCATGAACACAAATTGAAGCAAAAGCAGAAGGCAAAAGCCCAGGAGAACCATGTGAAAAAAAAACGAAACTTCACATGGCCCTCACTAATTCTCTGTTAATGGGCCAAACACCTGCCCAGTGCCATCAATTACTCCATAAAGTTTTATACTGCATGAATGAAATAGATCAGTAGTTCAACTGTTTTGGCTACTGTACCCCTTGTTTAATTTTGTTTCAACCGAGTACCCCCCCTTGCTTGACCCAAAATGGTTCTAAAAAAATAAATGTATCAATTACCCATTTTGTGAGGTATCCTATCTAGGAACTGCAAGCGAATAAAACGATCTGCATGCGTGACGTAATTTGTTTGCACTCGCTGGTTACTCTTCGAAACCACATTGTTTACGATCAACGAGTTCAGATAGGTCTTTCATATCGTTCGAGGTTACCATACGGATTTTAATGTTATCGTAGTTATTTCATACTGGCAGATTCATACATGATTACTCACCAATGACTCTCATGTATGATTAAATTTCACACATTTATAAATCACCTCGCGTACCCCCAGGGTCCGCACATATCCCTGGTTGAGAACCACTGAAATAGATAATTGATATTTTCAGCTTTAATCATTGACTTTGTTATACAAAAGGTTACGAGAGAGAATACATTTTAAAAAAAAATCTAAAAAAATGTCCTTGATTGCTATCCCATTTTAATCACAACTTTATGCCAAGCTAACGATTCTGTATAACCTCACTTGCAATTTAATTTGACAGTGTCGTCTGTTTGCATATTTATACAATAGCCACCCAACATATGTTTAAAATATCCGTGACTTAATAGTGATTATAGTTTGACCAGTAGAAAAATGATCCGCCCAAGCTACAGGAAATTCATCATTTAATATTGCTCCATGTTGGTGCACTAACTTAGATGTATTAAGTGACAGTTATTTCTGCCAATTAGTATTTTGCTTCATTGCTGTACTTTGTTTTTTCATGTAGTCATTTTGGTGACCCAGTTCACTCTTGCCAATGAGACATCATTGTCTCTTCAGAATTTTAATCCGTTTAAACATAATCAACTTGAGAAGGATGAGAAAGCACGCTACAAGTGTGCATTGACTTGGGTCAAGTGGACGTGTCTACGTTCTGAGTGGTGGCAGTTATTTGTACCACACCCCACACATTTTTGAGCTTAGAATTAAGTCCAGGATTTCGGCACCAAACAAGTTGAGCACAAATTACACTGTACACTCCAAAATGTTCCCAACCTGGTGGTGCAGTAATTCCCAGTGCCCCCTAGTGGGGGGTTCTTTTTGCTGCAGCGTGCTCCTTGCGATGAGCCTTCCAAGCTACCACTGCAATGACAACCAACAAACACACCTTTAGTTTAAAACGTTTCACTAAAAATACTGAGTGGGGGTAAAATTTGAAACCACGTCCGGTTGAGAAGCACGTTTTGGTCTACTGCGTAGTTATTCACCGGTTGTGCTGTATAGCTATCTCCCGTGCATTGTTAGTTTGTACCGCATGTTGTACGTTTAACTTCTTTCGCACCGTACATAGCCAACCATGCTAATCAGAGGTGCGGGAGGATAACATGTTGTCCTGACAAAGCATGTGGAGCAAAACGTCGGACATTGTGCCGAACACCAAGCGGCACAATGCAAAAACACATTGGAGAGCTATAGAGGACACAATCACAAAACCTACGCAGGAGAGCGATTACTGCTCCCAACCGGACTTGGGTTTCACATTTTACCTCGCTCAATATTTCTAGCGAAGCCCTTTAAATTTAAGATATGAACATTAATTCTAGTCAAACAGTCTCTAATCAACATTTTGACTACATGACTCTCATTGGGAGGGAGGGGGGGGGGGTTATTAACTGCATAATAACCAGCATCTACATTTCACCTAACATGATTTTAAATTTTGATTTAAAGCTTTCGTGACTGCAGGGATTCCTATTCTTGGTTCTTTCGGTAAAGTCACGTAGATAGGGAAATAATAAAATTATATAAATCAATACAAATTATCACGACAGTTTCGACTGCAACACAAGCAATCATCATCAGGTGTGAAACCAAGAATATGATTTTAAATGTTTTCCCACACAGGAGTTCAACCAAAATGATACAGTGAAATTGTAATGATTTCAAGCGTATTCACGAGCACTTGCGATGCAACATTTGGTAGAGACGACGGTAAATATTATCGTGTTCAAAATCATATTTGTACTTTTTTCACCTCAAGGGAAATTTTCTTAAGTTTACAGCACAACAAATGCCACTGAAAACAACCATCATTCACACAGCAGCATTAAGGTTACCTTGACATTCACGGCTGCAGTAGTACTTAGGCTCATTCCAATGTTCATCGTAGCACCTACAGCGAGAGAAAACCAAGTCATAGTTACATTACGGATTTATAAAAATGAAAACAATTTCAGATGAGGCACTACCAATGACTTAAATTGTATTCCATTAAAAACACTCTTAACATGCTTCAGCAGATCATAAAATTCAGTGGGTAATTCGAGCTAATGTAAGTAGCTTTAGAGAGCTGTGCAGCATCATGTGCATTGTGTGCATCGATAAGAGTAATGTTTATTAACATGTATTACCTCTGGCATTTCTTAAACAGTTTAGGCTTCGGTTCCATGGCTTTACATTGGTCACATTGTCGCTGCTTGGCCTTTTTGTTTCCGTGTTCTGTTGGTTAATGTAAGAAAAATGACAAATACACATATTTACTTGTATTACATATCACGATGTCAATTTTTATGTCCTACTATGGCTGAAATGTTTAAATTTCACAAATGTAGTCGAGTCTATGCCTGGAACTATAAACATCCAAAGTATATATATGTAATCCATATTGACCTGGAGTGCAATATCCGGAATGGGATGTCATGTTGACAAAGCAGAAATAACACATTTTACGAATGTATCAACATATTATGCATTTGTTTTACCAAGTACAATGATGCAGTTGATTACATACATAGAATGAGGACCTTATTCTGAACAATGAAGCCTAAATATGCTTTTTAAGTTGTATTTATTGACCTTTGATATAATGGAAAGGTTAATAGGTAGTGGTTTTTTTGCACTGAAGAACTAATATACAAGTTTCAAGTTTAATTTATTAGGTATAGCCCTGTGAGCCATGCAGCTCTTCATTCGGGTGCAACCGCAACAAACAAAATATAAAACAGAACATCTTACACGACTCATAAATACAGAGATGGGGAGGAGTTGTTCCCATACTGCACTATGAACCAGGCAAAACGAGTTCAATTTCCAGCCAGATCTAACATGAGAATGATCATCTGAACAAGTCCTCAGGCCCCTGCTTTCACCATCTCACACTGATTTGGCATGAAGTATCGTTCTCATCCAGTGCGATGATCATGAGCTGCGTGTTTTTATTTTTTATTATAATAATGAAGACCGTGGGAAACGTCCTGAAATGACAATCAACAGCCACTACGACTTATGCACCACAAATTAGCGATGTGACAATATTTTCCCTTCCCTGCATAACATAAAAAACCATCAGTGATTTAATGTTACTAAACTAGACAAGATTGATGCCATCATTGCAATAACGTGAACACCACCTGTGCTCTATTGTTTCCCTACAATGTTTCAAAGCACAAGCAGTCGAGGTGGGCTGTCAGATTTACCATTGCAGGAGCAGTTTCATTTGACAAGAGCACAATTTACATTCCCATGCTTCATTTACAGCCCTCCCAGTTTGTTTTGAAGCTTTTGATGGCCCGCCACTTACCATCCACGGTGGGAGCACTCGATGCGTTGGTAGAAGCTTCTGACTTGGCAGAGCTGGGCTATAAGAGAATGTGACGTCAGATGTGTGCGCACGTTTTTTGTTCATTACGTTTCACACCGTTTTACATCCATAGCTGGACCAAGATTGTTCTTGTAAATTTAGCTATTTTAAAATATTAACTATTCCAGGTCAAATAGTTTGATTATAGAAGAGATAACATTATCCTCAAATCAGACGCAGAACTGTCAGTGACCTTTATAATACACCTTGAAACAATGCATATCTAATTATTAAACAAATGACAATACAAAATGCATATTTGGCAAAATCGTTTAATTTAACTGTCTGTTTTGACTGATGGCTTTGCTCACAGTAGCCAAATAAGCCTCTCAGTGATGTAGAAACTAATTACCAGGGCTAAGGATTAACCTGGTAATTTGCCCAACATGTAATCTTCATTTTGTACAAGCTGTGTACTTGGAAAAATCACGTGTGGCCTTCGTGGATCATGATTAATAAAAAAAAAATCTATTCGATCACGAAAAATATTTCAAAATATGAAGGTTCTTTCGCCAGTGGAGCTTTAGGACCAATAATGTCTCATTACCCATGATGCACCAAGACAGTAAATTATGCGTTTGCGAAATGGTCCCATGGTGTTCGCAGACGCCGCTTGCTTTTACAACCGAGCAACTCCGATACATTTAACAAGTCACACACTGCTGATGAGACTAAGAATAAAACAAAGGATTGCCTTGCCAAAACAACTGTTAGAATAGATTGTATTGTGTTGTTGTGTATTGCACATTAATTCATTATATTGTATTCATTTTCGAGTTATACAAGGAATGATGGCCAACCATCTTCCAATAAAAGAACAGTAGTGTAAGATGATGCTTCTTCAGTGTTGATGTGGAAAAAGCACAAAGATTCAATACCTCCCCCTCGCTTGCTGTTGACGCCTCATTGAAGGTATCATTGCCGGCTAGCTTCCCAATCAGCTTCTCCACCAGGGATGCAACTGAAAATACAATGGTCGTACCAAGCATTCACAATTAAATCTGGGCGGCGACACAGCCTAGCAATGGAGCGTTTGCAGCTTGTCATAGAGGCTTACGGTTCAAGTTCAGTGACCGCCGATTATTAATACGGTGTGTCTTAACCATAATAACAATACATGCCGTTCGCTTCAAAGTGTACGTTAAATATCCTCAGATGTCATTCAAAAGAGTGGCCCATTGTGTGCCCGCGTAAGGCCCCAAAATTTGACAAATTACTCAGTTGGGATTATGCCTAGCAATCATCTCCCCCTACTTGTGAAATTATGCCACAGGGCTTCTCTTGAAAATGAAACTCATCCTGGTCCCTTGAGTTCTCACCTGGTTAAACAACAGTAACTGGAAACACATTGTTAATGTGAGGCTTGAAGATATGTATTATTTTTAAAGTTTTTATAAAATTATGTTAAGTAAATAACACATTACATTACAATTGTTGCAAATGGTGTTATTACATTATAGTAATAAAATCAATGGTACTTGACTCAACTATATTGATATTTGATATTTAATTTAGATTCCCCACCAGTGGAAGGGAAAGTACAGCATATTGTTTCCTTTTAAAAGGAGCTCAATATTTGTCTCGGTATGTGAATACATCCATATGTAAAATGTAAGTATTCCTGAACATTAAATGCATCTCAATATATCAGTCCATGAATACAGTACCCTGGGAGGACTCAGTAGATGAGGCTTATGAGCGAAAACATCTGCGCTATGCCGAACTAGCTGCCGAAGCACGGCATCATGGCTGGAACACAGAAGTCCGACCAGTGGAGGTGGGCTGCAGAGGTGTTGTGGCAACATCTACAACCAGACTGCTTAGAGACCTGGGAATTAAGGGCCAGAGCCAGTGTTCGGCAATCAGAGCTGCATCGGAGGCAGCAGAAGGCAGCAGTCAGTGGCTCTGGATGAAGAGGAAAGACCCCAACTGGGCCCCAAAGTGAGAGGGCCAGGAGGTATGCAGTCAACAATGCTTGACTCAGGGAGGAGGACACCCCTGCCATGCATAGTCCCATGGGATGTTGGCTATCAACAACAAGGCAACTCCTATGACTAATTGGGAATGGGACGTAAGCGTAGGATTGATCACCCTGTCGCTGGCCGCCTTTGGGGAGGGTGTATAGTATGAAAGGCCGAAACACCCTAGGAACCAAAGGTTCACTACTGACGATGCGATCCCCAAATTTCACCAAGCTCAATGTTCATGAACTCTTGGAAGTGCTTGCACAAAGGATAGTAACATCTCATCCTGTGTTCTTTGGAATCTGAATATGCCTCGCTCAACAAGCGATATACATTTTGTTAAAATGTATCGGTAAGCGAAAACTCGTTAAACGATCGGCGTTTTCCTATCGACTCCCACGTTACATTTTAGTTCCAAAATCTTCCACTTTTGAACAACTTTTTTAACGTGAGAAATACAAATGACGTATAATTTTTAAATAGAGTAATAAACTATCAAATTTAACACTTACCACACATGAAGAACCAGTGCATGATCCCCTGTATTGCCTTAACATACTGTTGGGGCAAGTGCTATCAGCGAGCACCTATGAAGGCCGGTACAGGACGAGGGGTGGGTGGCCAGCACCATGCCCCGCCGCCTTTGTATCCCTAGTGGCGATTTTTACACACCAGGTACTCATTTGAGGCAGAGTCAACATAAGGGAGGACCAGGACCAATTGAGATCAATGTCACTGGTGTTAGCCGTGAGCAGGATTCAAAAACTCGGGTCTCTGCGTTCGTAGCGCCGCATACGCACCGCTACATCGCGCACAAATCGCTAACACCCATTAGTGCCACCACGAAGTTCCCTTCCACCACATAACGAAACGCATGCGCACTCAGCATAGGACAACTGGTAAACAAACAGCTGCAGTCGCCCCCTGTCGCCACGGGACGCATATCTATCGATCGGTCTCCACTCGATAAGCAAACATTTTGCTTGTTTTTCAAACAAATTGCTCTAAATTAAAATAGCTCGTATTGGTAGGAACCTCCTGGTTACACCAGCCCACAAGGGATTATTGTGTCCATCGTGCAGGGAGGGGCTGGGTGGGGAGGGGCTGGGTGGGAAGGGTGGGGAGGGGCTGGGTGGGGAGGGGCTGGGTGGGAGGGGTGGGGCTGGGTGGGGAGGGGCTGGTCACCCCATGGTGCCCTTATAGAACTCAACATTTAACCTACTCACGCCGGCTTGTGCCCGCCCTCACAGTCGGGCATATTTGCGGAATACACCACGCCGCCATTGACCCTGCAGGCCATTCACCGAGCAACCCAACGTTCCTACCAGCTCCCTCCGCAGGAATGTGTTTATAGCGAATCCTTGTAGAAAGAATACTCGTTAAGCATGACACGCATGTACACGTCAATGTGAACATAAATTCACGCATGGACGGAAAAGGTTATACGAATGTAAAAAAGGCAAGTTTTTAAACCTGCTGAATACCACGTGAGAAAAGGGAACGTGTCACTTTGCCTACTGTCACTGTCAACACGAACCTTCAGATTTGTTGCTTTTTCGTACGTCACTGCTATCTCTGCACTGGCAAAAAATGCTGCTGCTGCTGTCACAGCGGCACTCCGTGGCATCTTTAAAACACCAGCAAACATGATCTTCCTCTGACAGTATATCCTCCACAACCTGTCGCACTGCACACGAGAAAATTAATTGGTACCGATATTGTCATTGTACATTAAATGCACATTGTCAGTAAAAATATACAAATAATGGTATATTCCAGCAATTGACTGCTCATGCCAATGCTAGCAGAAGGGATTTCTCTGTTGCCATTCTACTGTTGTTTTATATTTTGTTCTGTCACTTGCATTGATAAGAAACTTGAACAATTGTGGCAAAACCTACTCAAAACACATTTTGAGAGGCTCACTTGAAGGTCTTGATTTATATGATCATCTTTTTACACCTGGAAGACCATTAATAATAATCAACATGTATATAAAAGCTGAACATTTTTTGCTTGGCATTCAACAGATTAATAAAACGTGGTGGCTGTATACTAAATGTGGAAATGAATCGCCCACCACCACAATTCAATGAACAGAACTGTCGCAATTCAGTCAACATTAGATTCAATAATCGATTTTCTAATCAGCTGTGGTGAATATAGCAGCATCTCGTGGTTGGGCAGGATCCTATAAAAAATCGATACTTAGAAAATAAATACATCATTGCACCCTTATTGGACACAAGTCTTTACAACATTAGACAAGACCCTTCCAGCAAGGCCTGCGATTATCAGGCCTTGCTAAGACCCCAAGTAAATGTGACGAGGTGCTGGCCACTCACTAACATCCTCTGGGGTCCTATTTCGCAGTCTGGCCTCGCGATTCAGGTCTTCCTCCACAATTGCATCAAAATTCTTCCTCTTGGCCAACTTCAAGAAGTCCTTCAGAACCCCCTTCACCAACTTGGACTCCGATGAAGTCGTCTTTGAGGCATTTTCCTGAGGGATGGAAAACGACACAAGTCAACGAGCTACACTCGCGAGGCGTTGAGCATAGGCTGCATTTAAGATAACGACATGGCTCAGTAACATCAAAACATGGCTACAATTAACAACAGCACAAACTCTACACGCCGTGCTAGACCGGGACCAATATCATCATGAAGTCGCACACGCCGTTAGGCAGCACTAAAGAAGAAGATAATTAAAAGTAAGAGTTAATAATATTAAAGTGGTTTTCAGTACCAGTCCATAAGCCACTATCTCAAAGCAATTTTGCACTATTGTTCAAACATTCTGTATCAATATAAGTAATTATATCTAAGATGTACAGCCCATTGTGAATGCACTGATAAATGTGATCCGCCAAACACGTTTTGGTCATACTTGATCATGCTGGTCAGCGAGGATTGGGTGAAGCGTTATGCTTAGAAACATTTTGGATACTAATTTGCAACTGATGCCAGCCATGGCTGTGAATCAATATCCCTAGGTTCATACGACAGTGACAACTACTATGCCATTACTCGATAGTTAATTTGTCTATTTATTAATGCTATGTGCCCTGATTCAATTGCCATGGAACCATGGGTATGCGGCACTCTATATATAGAAATAAATGCATAAACAACATGACTCAGAATTGACAAGTGAAATTATCCCATAAAAAAACGTCTATCTAGCTGTAAACACAAACCTTTACAAAGTTATAACAATAAAGGCTAAAATACACGTTTATATTATAAAGATGTTTGCTTCATGAAACAAACCAATTCAGTTTCTTTCGAACTCTAGAAATGTTGCCAACTGAGATGGAGCAGATGGGTTTCTCATTTTACTATACAAGCTACAATGATGGCATATTCTATTGTCAGCATAGATTTCAGCAAGGGTAATTGATTTACGATACATGACATACATATTGAGCCTCATGCAGCCTTTCTGCTGTATTTATTTCGTGCAATACAATTAGCTTGGGACATTACAATCAAGAACATGTTGCTGCTCATTCAAGCTTACCTTAACATGTTTTTCTGTTGGCTCACTTCCATCACTATTCGCTCCAGACAGCTTCACATCTTCCTTTTTTGTTTCCGTTGTTCTCGTATCTGAAAAAACACAGAATTACATAAAAATGCACTTAAAAAAAAGTCACATTTAAATTTCGTACTAAAAAATAATATGGCTGGTGGTGTCTTTTAGGCTACCATTAGTCCTTTAACTTCTAAGATTGCATAAGCCATATTGACTTTGTGTGTACAAATTAATCTAATGTAAGCTCAAGGGCCACAACTTAAAAGGCTCCACACATCTGGAACACACTTATGTATCGACTACTATTTTATGTTAATGTACAAATTTTTAAAATCAAGCACTTAACTCGCATTACCTTTAGGTATTGGAGTATACAAAGAGTAATTGGTAGTTGTGGTGGCAGCCTTGGTGGTGTTTTGCTGGGAAAACCGTGTCTCTTGGCCAGGGTGTAAATCTTCCTTTGAAGGATCATTTGAACTTTCTTGCTTCGATTTAGACTTGGATTTTTTATTTCTTTTGAGAATATTTAAAGGACTGTCTGACATTTTTATAGAGTCCGTGTCCATGCCATACTTCCTAACAAACTCTGGTGACCAATAGGACTCATCTGAGCTGTCACATTTCTCTGCCTCGATCCAATACCTCAGGCAGTTGCACACCGACTTCCCAAATTGAATAAATAGTGGAGACACGAAGCACATCTGCAGAGAGTGGAGTACAAAGCATTGTATTAAAGTCTGGGCGTACCAGAAAAAACTCCCATGAATATTGTGAGCAAGGTTAGATAAAAGCCATATGCACAGTAGAGGCATACATACCGTCTCAAGGGTCAAAGGGGCACCTGGAGAACCAAATAGATTTCTAAACGTTTCCCTGTAACATAGAGAAATTGAATTATTACAGCACTTTACTCTTCTAATACATACGCTCATAGGACAATTACGGTTATTTCAATATACGGCATTTCCCAATTAACTGCTGGATGAAGGTCTCTCCTAAGCGATGTTGTCCATTGGGGTTGACTATACTTCACCACGGTGGTCAGTGCAGGTTGGAGAAGCGGGGCTTTGACCAGTTCAGATATCACTCACTGCTAATGTTAGCCATGGCTGGGAATTAAAATCAGGCAGCTGGGATCATAGCAGTGTGCTCACTATTGTGTCACTGGTTCAATTCCAAGTTATACAAACCCTTTTAGAATGAGTTGTTTAAGGAACTATGAAAAATATTTAGTTTTAAACAGTTAAATGTTATAAAATTAGATTCAAAATACAATGGTAAAAAATGGGTAAAGATGTTTAAACTACAAATACAAAAAAAAATGCACAACCTTCACCAAATAATTCTTGAAAGTTTTTAGAGACGACATATTTCTGATGTTAACCCTCATACAAGGTCAGCAGCTTATTTGAACTGCATGGACACTACAAGAGATAATGCATTGCAAGTCAACCTTGGATGTAACAAAGTGCTTCACAATCAGAACAATAAGAGGGCATATATTGAAAAGTTATGCAGATGAAACGAGGACAACAGTTACAGTATTACTGAAGTAAATTTCACAAGCCCAAATTTGTGTAGCCAACTCAAATACACAATTAAGTGAACAAAACAATGCTCGCTTGGACTCACCTAGTTTCTTTCATATAAAAAGGATCCCAGGCTGTTGAGAAAAAGAAAATCAGAATGACCTTACATTTTTTTTTTATCCAAACAAATATATTTGTACGTGCCAGCTATAAACCTGACCACGGTTTTTATTTTATTTTACTCGGGTATGTTTTGTTGAAAAGAAACATAATAAAATATATTTACAGAGAGATTCTATCATTATGATGCTGGGCCAATTCCATGTATAAGTGTTTGGTATGTGAGAAAATCCACGCATGAGAAGGGACAACAGTCAGAGCTATGTACAAATATTTAAAATCCACAAATAGATCCCACTCTCAATGAACTCCTGTGTATGTGTAGGGGTGTTACAGGAGGGCGAACAAACACACCAGGGGTGGTTATGCCCGCACGCGGAAGGATGCTTACATCCACGTCCGAATCGGTTAGCCCTGGGGGGCTGTAACGGCGCTGTGATCCCTCACGGCCCCACCCCTCGTGGGGAAGTTGCTATATAAGGCGGTGATCCGGTGGGCTCGGGGTTCAGTATTCAGCTTAACCAGTGAAGAGTGAAGACCGGCTAGATAGGCCCTGGGACTCCCCTGGATCGCTGTCCTTCTAAGGACCGACCAGGGCAAACCAGTGGCGTGGCCCCGAGAGCCCAGAGCCGATGCTCTTGTAAGAGCTGGTCTGGTGGCTAAGGGTGCCGTGATCCTAGCTTGGCCAGAGCTGGATCAGCTAGCCTCCCCTAGCTCTCGAGTGGAGCACCTGGGAGTAGGCTAGCCAGGCTAGAGTTAGTGGGGTCTCCCTGTTAGACGGGTAAAGGGGCCGTTACCCCTTCAAGTGTTGTATACATTGGCCTGTGCTGAGTGTAACGTTATAATAAATAAGTGTGCCTCCGACTACGTCGTCTACGTCTCATTGAACCTACTACATGTGTACTCAACACAGCGGTGTGCTGCCATCTTCTGGCGACATCGCATATAAATATTTCAGAAAATAATTGTAGCTCAGGTGCAAAAAGAAACAATATTACAGTAATGCATTTCTAGTTACCAGCATCAGAGTACCTCATTCACAGCTGTATGATTTTTATTCAATGCTAATTTCCAATGTAACAGTGTATAGTGGATGCAGGACAAATACATCTCAGCCTTACCCACTGAACCACCAGTACAATTAACAGCCTTGTGTCTGTTTTTAGCAACGTTGAAAACGTCTTCCATATATCTCCTTGCATTTGAATATCGATCTGTAAATTAACAAAAACAACAATATTTAATTGACTTTTACACTTTTCGTATGTTAAATCAAATACGGTGCAAAAATGCTAAACGGTCAAATGTAGGCAATGTACACTAAAAAATAATGAAACACTAACTCATGATTAGTGTGAACATTTAAACAAAATGAGCACGTGTCCAAACAGATACGATCATAATGTAACAGCTGAACTGCCACCTCTCACCTTGACAAAACTGTGTCTCTATGTAAGTACAGCCATATAGGAAATAAGCATTAACTTCACCTGCCTGCAAAAAAAAACCACACGTACATGTTAAACACTCTATACTTTATAAAACAGTTGTTTAGCGTTAAATAACTTTACAAATAATAGCGAATGACTGTTATAAAAATATGGTTCGAAGTATCAATTGTAGATATTATAAAACACTCTCATAAAGTCAAAATGTGAGCATACAAAGTCAAAAAATACTGATGCACATAATTGAAAAAAAGAACGATTTATTTATAAGACATTAAATAGTTACAAAATGATCTCATATCCAAACGCATCTTTACATGCATCTGTTCGTTTGTTATGGTGAATACAAACTTGTCTATATACAGTCGATGTATTTAGTGGATACAAAAAAAAGACTTGTGCACGCAGAAGGGCGGAGGCACTGGAGGCTTGGCTTACTATTTGTGGACAGAGGTCTTCATAAAATGTCCGGAATCCCAAAAGAAATCTTTTCCAAAACCTGTTCCTCTGCAATTACATTTCAATGATAAACATATCAAATCTTTACTATTAAGATACATGAGATGTTTACGAGTAAGATACATATGAGACGTTTACGTATAGGATACACATGACCACAAAGGACAGTACTGTTTTCAAATGGAACTTAGCGAAACATAGATTTTACTGCTTTGAGTTATTTAATAACTTTAAATGTGTACAATCTTTCTTCCATGCAAAGAACAGTTTTAAAACCCATACCACCGTTTAAATATCTCAAACAAGTATCACATTAAGCCATCTCACAGTAGGTTTCATTGCCTTGTTCCCCACACATGTTTGTCTTATAAATTATTAAGATGTGACTATGAGAAGGCATGCTGGTTTAAACGTAAAAATGTAATTACTTGAGATAAAAAATAGAAATAAAAAAACACAATGTAAATCTATATACGGTCATGTCAGAAAGGCAGTATTACCTGTTCAAGCCACATTCTTTTAAACACATCCCTGTGCTTGTGAAAAAACAAAAGATCGTTGGTGTCCATCTCTCCCTCATACAAATAGATGGAATTCGGACCAAGAATAATCTTCCTCATGGTGCTTTTCGCCAACAATCTTCTACTGAAAAGAAACGTCACATATTTGCAGATGAGTCTCAGACAGTGGAAACCGGTCTCGCGTTTGCATGCCTAAACATTGGCGCATGGCAAAAACAGTGGTCTTTAAACATGACGTACACACAGCAACTATCATCAGCCATGTTAAATCAAATTCGGAATGCGATGTAAAATTTCCCGAGCACACAAGGTGATTTGCATTGCTCCATCTCCTGGGTGTACTGCTCTCACTCGTTACATTCCTTCAATGCCACTACAGATTCCAGTGTGCCTACCATAGCTGCCCTAAGCACATACACTCTGCTTGCTGTCTTGTCAAGTTGTGTCGCTCTGACAGATGATCTACAATTTTTTGCGAACTTGTGGTACGTGACCTTTGCTCAAATGTATCCTGCGCCTTCTAAACTCAGTTTTTCTAACATTTCTTCGCAGTTAATTTCCAAATTCTTGGATCATATTTCGCTAACCGTAGCGAAAGGCATTTCACATTGTAATACTCTTCTTAATATTTATCCTGGCACTTTATACATGTGACCTTAGTATGGCCGTTCCGTTTTTGTAAATGTGTTTCTAAATATTATTTCTAAACGGCGCATGGATGATTAAATCAGTCTCTATTCAGCCCAATAAACATGACAACGCCCCGATGCTACATAACTTTTTTGGCGTTTTCCAAAGTCTAGGCACAACGTTTGATTCAAATGTGAGGTTTTTCTCCAGTCTCATTAAACAGTGACACTAGCTACGTACGCGTGTACAGCATTGGCATCATTAAAGGCCGCCACTGACATTATTAAAGGCCCGTCAATATCGATCGATACGATGAGAACCGCGTGTGCCACGAATACGTCGGTAAATACAAACTAAATTCGCAAATACAATGGGGAAAAAAACCCAACACAACGAGGCCAGTGACAAAAAGTGTACCACGTTCTACCCGTAGATAACTAAGACAAATCCTGTAGGAATGTGGTCACAGCAGCAGCAGCATGTTTAACATTCGCAGGCCTGACCAGACTGGACAAGGCCCCCACATTCCCTCGGCTCGGTAACCCTCCCGTCAACTCCCGAGGAGCTGAACAACATCAACTCACGCACGTCAGCAACGACCTTCCAAGACTGCGAAGAAGAGACAGACGGACGGACGACGACGAAACGACGAGTGGCGTTGGGGAACTTCGCGTGGGGCGTTCAGACGCGCGGCGACTTGAGGCGACTCCACCGCGGGGCCCTCCCGAGGAGGCTCCTGGCTGAGACGCGGCTCGCTCATTGGCCCGCAGGCTGGGTGACGTCACCAGCCACGATGACGCGAGCGAGTTAGAGGGGTGGGGTTGGGTGGATGGTGGGGTGGGGGTGGGGTGGGTGGAGGGGTAGGGTGTGTGGAGGGGTGGGGTGTGTGGAGGGGTGGGGAGGAGGGGTGGGGTGGGGTGGGTGGGGTGGGTGGAGGGGTGGAGGGGTGGGGTGGAGGGGTAGGGTGGGTGGAGGGGTGGAGGGGTGGGGTGGAGGGGTGGGGTGGTTTGTGGAGGTGTGGTGTGGGTGGAGGGGTGGGGTGGAGGGGTAGGGTGGAGGGGTGGGGTGGAGGGGTGAGGTGGGTGGGTGGGGTGGAGGGGTATGGTGGGGGAAACGCGTGGACAAGTGAGTGAAGTGCATCATGCGCATGCGTCATGCGACGTTGATTAAACTGTAACACGTTTGTTTGTTTCTGGGTAAGTGTTATTGCCTAATTGCCTATGCCTGAAAAGTAAAAAAATGGCTGTTATTACCCACAAACTTTGCTTTTGTGACCAGGACAGTGATATTTTGAAATTTACCTATTTTCCAGAACATTCCAGATAGATTCAGTGCTGAGTAAACTTGGAGTGCATTCTAGAACTTTCCAGTAATATAAATAGTAGTGTAAATTCAGGAGTCTTAAGCCTACCAGTTCAGTTCAGTTCCAGCTGCCTAAGTGAATACATATCTGCATTTTTCTGAGCTAGCATCAAGAGGCTGCAAGCATCCGGCAGACGCATTTGGCTATGTCTGCGGCCAATTTATCAAGACAAGAGCTAAAAAGTACTCTGTAGAAGCATCTGCTAAGATGTGTGAGGGCTACAAGGCATATTTCGGCATGCCTGTCAGGGATTAAAACAAACCCTGGGCACCTCATTTCACCTGCGAGTAATGCAAAAAACTCTGGAGGGTAAGATGGACAATTGTTGCTCGGAATTTTATGTTATAAAATGTGTTAAAATTGTTAAAGTTTTTTTTATTTTAATGTTTTACAATTTTCAATGTTATTCAAAAAATATATCATATATGAAAAACGTTGCGAGAATCTCTTACACATTAGTCATGGGTGAAATAAATCTATTTTTGTAGGATGGTACAGAGGGGAAAAGAGAGCCATGAAGTTCGCTATCCCAAGAATTTGGTGGGAACCCACTGACCACTCAAGCAACTGCTACTTCTGCATGGTGGACCCTTCCAAACGTCAGACTGGCAAGAATGCACCTGCTACCACGTATCCGGGACCTTCATCCATCGCGCCAGTGCCACACTGCCATGAGCGGATGGTTATAAACTCAGCAACTCCTTTGGGTCATGACTTGATTTGTGTTTTAATGTCAACCTCCACCGTCAGCAGTGTGGGTGTGTGGAGCGAGGTGCAATGATTGCCTGGCAGCCCTTTGATTGGTGTAGTTGCTTGTTCTTTTCCTACATTAACATCAGCTGCCCCGCCCATGGTGCTGACACTTGGGCTACGCCCATCCTTCAACCTTTATAAACAGTTTGCCTTTAGAGGCTAACCGCTAACCTCCCTTTCTTTCCCTGATGACGACCGCTTGTGTTGCAATCGAAACGTTGTGGTTTTTGGTTTCTTATTTGTATTTTATTTTTATTACTGAAGGACCCAATAATAATTCTACATTATAGACTGCCAGTACGCTCACTCAGTTGAATAACCAATGCTACTGTCTACATTATAGACTGCCAGTACGCTCACTCAGTTGAATAACCAATGCTACAGTCTACATTATAGACTGCCAGTACGCTCACTCAGTTGAATAACCAATGCTACTGTCTACATTATAGACTGCCAGTACGCTCACTCAGTTGAATAACCAATGCTACAGTCTACATTATAGACTGCCAGTACGCTCACTCAGTTGAATAACCAATGCTACAGTCTACATTATAGACTGCCAGTACGCTCACTCAGTTGAATAACCATTGCTACAGTCTACATTATAGACTGCCAGTACGCTCACTCAGTTGAATAACCATTGCTACAGTCTACATTATAGACTGCCAGTACGCTCACTCAGTTGAATAACCATTGCTACAGTCTACATTACAGACTACCAATACGCTCACCAGCTTAATAACCAGGCTACAGTCTACATTAGTGTTTTTATAATTATTTTTATTCACTTTATTTATTATTGTTTTTTCTATCTACGTGACTTTATCGAAATAACCAAAGAATATGAATTCCTGCAGTCACGAAAGTTTTAAGTCACAATTGAGTGCAAAGGAAGACAAGCGTTATCACCGAATGCCGACGAAGCAGCCTCAAACGAGTAGCTGGTGTGATGTGAGACAAAAGAGGCCAGCCCTGGAGCTGACCACCCACCCCTTCGTGTTCTGTGTAGGCGTTCATTGGCGGGGGGGTTAGATGGCGTAAATATTAATGATTGTGTCATTAGACCCACCACCACCCGACACAGCCAATTAGTAATGTTCGTCACGGAAACACAACGTGCCATGAGGTACTACTTCAGCACACCGGTGTGTTGGAGAGCAAGCGCCGTGTGGTTAATGCAGACTTGATTTCTTGCAAAAAGTATCTCTTTGGTGTTCGAGCATCTCCTGTTTTATTGCCGGTAAGGGTAAAAACCTATTATTATTTTTCATACTTTGATACTGGCAAGCAAGATCCCAGGAAATAGCTGCTCATTCCGGGCTATAAATTGTCTGATAGTGCATTGTCTTTTTGTTGTTTGCCTTTTGGCATTCGCTGGTCTGACACCGGTGAGACAGGCCAATCAATTTCAAAGACAATGCTCATTTAATAATCATCAGAGCATGTTCACCACGAGTACCCTGTATGGTTAATGCAGACTTTATTCCTTGCAAAATATATATTTCTTTGGTGTTTGAACATCTCAACGCTTCCTGTTGTATTGCCAGAAGGGGTAAAAAATATATTTGTATTTTTCATACTTTGATACTGGCAAGCAAGGGTCCCACGATAAGAGGGAGGCGAGGTGGGGGGGAGGGTCAAGGTGGGGGGAGCGAGGTGGGGGGGGGCGAGGTAGGGGCGAAGTGGGGGGGGCGAGGTGGGGGCGAGGTGGGGGAACGAGGTGGTGGGGGCGAGGTGGGGGGGAGCGAGGTGGGGGGGGGGCGAGGTAGGAGCGAGGTGGGGGGGGCGAGGTGGGGGAACGAGGTGGGGGGGGCGAGGTGGGGGGGAGCGGGTGGGGGGGCGAGGTGGGGGGGCGAGGTCGGGGTGAGCGAGGTGGGGGGGGCGAGGTGGGGGGGGGTGAGGTGGGGGGGGCGAGGTGGGGGAACGAGGTGGGGGGGAGCGAGTTGGTGGGGGCGAGGTGGGGGGGGCGAGGTGGGGGGGGTGAGGTGGGGGGGGCGAGGTGGGGGGGAGCGAGGTGGGGGGGCGAGGTGGGGGGGGCGAGGTGGGGGGGGGCGAGGTGGGGGGGGGGCGAGGTGGGGGGGAGCGAGGTGGGGGAACGAGTTGGTGGGGGCGAGATGGGGGGGTAAAGGTGATAAGGGGGGGCAGCTGGCCCAGTGTGACGTCACCGCCCACCGCACGCGTCACTGAGAGAGCCATGGCCGCCTGCGTGCCCCGTAACTCGCGGCTTCTCCCCGCGTTCTGCGCGACCCTCTTCGCGGCGGTTCTGCTCTCCTCCCGAAGCTCCTCCGCCTTCTCCCTCCTGCCGAAGACCTCACCGGGAGGACGCAATGGCTCCTCCGTGGTCCCGCTGGTCATGTGGCACGGCATGGGTATGTGTCGCGTGTGTGGTGTGTGTTGTGTAATGGGGAGCGGTGGTGCAGCGGTTAGCGCTACGCTCACGGCCAACACCGGTGACGATTTTTCTGAACCGGTCCTTGGCCTCCCACTAGGTCGACTCGGCCTCAAATGTGTACCGGTGTGTAGTAAACATCGCACAGTGGGGGAGACAAAGGCGGACCAGCTGCGTGTGTGTGTGTGTGTACTTCCTGGCTAATTGCAGAGTGTAATTGGACTGCTATGTCGCCTATTGTTTAATTAAGCTAATTCCTTTAGAACGGCTCATTGATTTTAGTTTGTTGGCTTCGTACAGTGCGAAAGAAGTTCAACATACAGTGACAGTGCGGTAGGAGAATAATTGATGTTGCCGGTAGAATATTGTGGATCATAATGCATTTCACACGAGTGTGTCTGTCAATAATGCAGAGTAAATTACATCCTTTGAGATAGTCCCATATGCTCTTACAGAGTTACAGGTGGTTGGTCTATGGTGTACTGTGTGTACAGAATGTGTTATTTGTGTATATTGTAGTATTCTTAGTTTCTGGTATACATCATCACATCTTTATATACTGTCTGCCTTTGTCAGTGTAAGGTAATACTGTGTGTGCATGTAGTTTGTTCACTATAAATCATCTTATACTCGATGCTTGTGTATGTGTCCGTGTCAGGATGTGTGTTATCGTTATCCAATATGGTTTTCTAAGTCTGATGCAGCACTGTGTGCATGCGGTGTATTCTTTATTGATGGTATTCTTAAGTCGTATGGTATTCTGTGTCCAGTATATGACTGCATGTCATAACCACATTACTGTGTTTGGTAAAACGTGTTGCAGATTACTACACTGTGAACTTCTGAATGATAAACAATGAGGACTTGGATGATGAGTGCAGGCTGTAATGTGAGCTGCGTCAGCGTGTTACTTGGAAAGCCCCTTGAACTGTAGTGATGTGGGCTAACCTCGTGACTGGCTCGCAGAGCACAGAGAAAATAAATGCTACGGTTAAAAAGCAGAACCTGAATCATCAACAGGGGCTTTCCATTGTATAATGCCCAGTACAATGAGCATCCATCCCATTGCCATCAACAAAGCAATGTTGAATTGTCTAGGCAAATGGGAATTTTAAGACTGAGTGTATAGCTTTATCCCATGCTGAATAAATGTATCTAATATCCATAATGCAGGTTTTTTTGGGTTAATCTAATATGCTTGTATCAACTATGCTTGTTCCATTTGCTGTTGCCTCCTGTCCCAGCAGCTTTGTTTTGAACGTTATCCAACTGGGTTTGGAAGCCTTAAATGCGTTAGCCGTGCCCCCATCTGTCTTTATGTCTGTGTAACAGGGAGTCTGGGTTAATATTGTAAAGATGATCCGGTGTACACAATGCTTTAGTGTAACAGTTGTGTTGCTATCAGGGACCTATCCTGGAGAAAAACGAACACATTTTTAAAAAGGGTTGCCAAAAAAGTGCCGATTAAAACCAGCGCTAAAAGAATAATTAACAACCTTACATCGGCCAAGGTGAAATCCACATCACACGTGACAGTGTATTGTGACAGCACGCGTCACACGCCGTGTGACATCTCTTCGTGTGGCTTTGGAAGGTAAAGTTATCATAACTGAATAAACATACTTGTGAAGACAAGCGCATGTGGGATAGCCAAACTCATGTGGGAGAGCGTTATGCTTGATTTTTCTTGTTGTTCAGCGCTCAACCAAATTCATTGTTTCGTCTGTTTTTTTACCCTACCCCCCCACACACTATTACAGGTGACAGCTGCTGCAACCCGCTTAGTTTGGGCAGCTTTAAGAAGATGATAGAGGGAAAAATTCCCAACATCTACGTGCTTTCACTTAAGATTGGAGATAGTATGCTGCAGGTACAACAGCACTTACCATACTTTTTTTAAATTAATTGACTGTTTCGTAATTAGCATGCTACAAGGATTGTAATAATGCACAGAACATACATGAATAGCAGTAATTATCAGCATATGTTTCATGATATATTAAAAATAATTGAGTGGCAAAGATTACTTTAATGTTGTTTAAATCATGTTTACAGTTGAGCCATTTTTAAAGGACTGCATTGCCTGATTCTATTTATATCTAAATTACTTCAACATTGAATCTTGTTTTCTTGTAATAACAAATGATAAACTAGTGTACCACTGGGGAAAATAATAGAACACCGCACAGGGAAAATAATGTGTGAAATGTAATCATAATGATTGGAAAATTACCACCAATTTATATATCACACATATTTAAAAAGATGTTTTACATATGAAATCTACACCCCTACGAAGAACACAGCTTGTTCTTTGGTTATTTCGGTAAAGTCACGTAGAAAGAAAATAAATTAAATAGTAGAATACGACGTTTCGATTGCAACACAAGCAACCATCATCAGGTAAGTGTGAAATTGGAAAAACAGAGACACACAGAGAGATGTGTGAAAATCCAAATTTCACATTTAACTTCTAATTTAGCAATCTTTGGAGATCGTAATCAACCAGGCTATGCATTAACTGTGTTATCCGACTCTCTGTGTTGCATTGCATTATATTTCCAAAAAAATTGCTAAGTTTGTTTTCTCAAACTGCCTATTTCTCTCTCTAAAATTTACCAGGCTCTCATAGGTCCATTCGTTCTTTCTCTCCTCCGACTGCTTCGGGGTGGATTTCCACACAACTCTCTCTAAAATTTACCAGGCTTGCTGGGTCTTTCTCTCCCCCTGCCGCCGCGGGGTGGATTTCCACACAGCTCTCTCATTGACATGCTAATTTCTCTGCTCCAGCAGCTGCTCCAACAGACCCACCTTTTTCTCTGCCCCCCCCCTCTCTCTATTTAAGGCCTCGACACAGGCATTGGGTCTCTGTGTGTCTATGTTGTGTGTCTCTCTCTGTGTCTCTGTGCTGTCTCTCTCTGCTTGTGTGTCTGTCTGTGTGTCTATGTTGTGTGTCTCTCTCTGTGTGTCTCTGTGTTGTCTCTCTGTGTGTCTCTGTGTTGTCTCTCTCTGCTTGTGTGTCTGTCTGTGTGTCTATGTTGTGTGTCTCTCTCTGTGTGTCTCTGTGTTGTCTCTCTCTACTTATGTGTCTATCTGTGTGTCTATGTTGTGTGTCTCTCTCTGTGTGTCTCTGTGTTGTCTCTCTCTGCTTGTGTGTCTGTCTGTGTGTCTATGTTGTGTGTCTCTCTCTGTGTGTCTCTGTGTTGTCTCTCTCTACTTATGTGTCTATCTGTGTGTCTGTGTTGTGTGTCTCTCTCTGTGTGTCTCTGTGTTGTCTCTCTCTACTTATGTGTCTATCTGTGTGTCTGTGTTGTGTCTCTCTCTGTGTGTCTCTGTGTTGTCTCTCTCTGCTTGTGTGTCTGTCTGTGTCTATGTTGTGTCTCTCTCTGTGTGTCTCTGTGTTGTCTTGCTCTGCCTGTGTGTATGTCGGTGTGTCTCCGTGTCTGTGTTTTGTCTCTCTCTCAAATTTAGTTCTATCTGATGACGGTTGCTTGTGTTGCAATCGAAACGTCGTATTCTATTATTTTATTTATTTTATTTATTTCTACGTGACTTTACCGAAAGAACCAAAGAGTAATTCCTGCACTCACAATAACTTCAAATCAAGTTTGAACACAGATTGTCCTATATTTCAGACCAAGGTATTGCAGGTAATTAATTCGCAATACCGTATGGGGTGGAGTGGGTGACCCATTGGTTAGGCCACAGCACTTTGAGCTCAGCCACTTGAGTTCAATTCCCAGCAATGGCTAACATCAGTGGCGAGTGACATCACAAACAGTTCTCGGCAGCTCTTCACCACCCGCACTGGCCAGCAAGATGAAATTTGGTCCAACAAACCCCATGACTAACAGCATGGGGAGGTTTTCAGCAGTTTATTGACAAAGGGTTGAAACGTATGTATGAGTTACAAAAAACAATGCCTTCCCATCTGAAGAATTAATACAAATTTGTAAGATAAATTTACTATTGGACTGAAACCTTTATAAATGAGCTCTTACCCATGAAAATCACATTTACGGATGCTATGAAGTAGGAGTTCGTGTTATAAATAATACTGTGAACTTTTATGTATCATCTCTGGCCATATTTTTTCATTGTGCAGGATGTGACCAATGGCTTCTTCATGAACGTGAATGACCAGGTGGACTTGGTTTGTCACATGTTGCGCAAGGACCCTAACCTGCATAATGGATACAATGCCATGGGCTTTTCCCAAGGAGGCCAGTTCCTGTAAGTGTTAAATAGAAAGTCTAAAAACAGGTTTTTTGATATGTGTTATCACCACCAACTTCCTCTTTCTCAAAATGGTTGTTCTCACAGATCGAGGCGTGTAATGATCCATTGGGTGATTAAAATAGATGCTTAGGCTCACAACAGATGGATCATATCACGAACGTTGTATGTAATTGGTTCGCGTCACTCCTGAAGTCACTCGAAGCACTGCATTGAACATCATAATGAGTTATAAACCGTGAGGGTTGTGGGGTAAGGCAGTAATGCTTTGGCATTCAAATATTTCCACCCATTGCAGCATTTTATGATCTGCACAACATTCTCCACTGATCTTCCTGTCCAAGGCATTCACAATGTAAAAAAAAACTATTTGATTCTTGGATTTAATCATGGCCCTGAATGGCAATAATTAATGACATCACAAGGGAGGCAAATTATTACATGCCTACTATATAATATGCTCTTCTGGTAGATTACTGATATGTGACACAACCAATACTTTATTTCCACTGTACAACTGAGCTCCACTAGGTCTGTGCGGCTCAGGAGGTGCCAGGTTTTCCCACTGATGAAGTACATTGTCGTGGTGTACTGACTGATGTTGCATGCATGTGTCTTTAACCCTGCATGCTAGGTCCCAAGCCAGATTCAAATGTATTATGGTTCCTGCTTAGCACTGAAAATAGACAGTGGAAACCACCAATTTTTTTTATTATATTGCTTTACTCAGGAGAGCCTCCTTAAGTCTCAACTTCCGAAATCTTCACAGTAGGGGGCGACGATTACCATGCGTTTCATAATCAAGTAATTGTGCGAGTATTTTTTTCTTGGGCAAATTTTCTTTCGTGATGCTGACACACAGTGGCCTACTTTTCTTCGAATGGCGTCATGTGTGATCTTTAACGTCCACCGTGGTCAATACACCCTCGGTACTAACCAGGACGGCCTGCCGGAATTGAATGCGAACCTCTGCAACAAGCTAGATTTGAAGCTTTCGTGACTGCAATGATTCATATTCTTAGGTTTTTTCGGTAAAGTCACGTAGGTAAAAAATTTAAATTAATAAAAAAAAATCACGACGTTTCAGAGGCAACACAAGCTTCCGTCTTCAGGGGTGGAACCGTCACAGCACTATAGCTGTACTTGATACAGAACCGTCACAGCACGATAGCTGTATCAAGTACAGCTATCGTATCAAGTACAGCTATCGTGCTGTGACGGTTCCACCTGAAGACGGAAGCTTGTGTTGCCTCCGAAACGTCGTGATTTTTATTTTATTTTTATTTTACTTTTATTAATTTTAATTTTTTACCTACGTGACTTTACCGAAAAAACCTAAGAATATACTCTGCAACAAGCGTTCAACCTGCTACCAGTGGGCCATGTCACCACTGCGTGAGGCCACGCTGGCTCGGCCCAGATGTGCGAGTGGATGGTACAAAGCTTCTCTTAAAAAACACAGGGGCATGGGTTCACCGATAATTGCATTGAACTGATGGTGTTGTTGTCTCTGCAGGAGAGCGGTTGCGCAGCGCTGCCCAGACCCTCCCATGCGGAATCTCATCTCGGTGGGAGGGCAGCACCAGGGTGCGTTATGTCATCAGCACTTCGTTGAATCTTCATCCCCATCTCTTTATTATAAACCCACGTTTGCCTTAATGTGCTAATTTGTTGTCTAATACTGTGTAGCTTTTGCTTGCATATTTGTATTGAATGTATTTTCAATGCTGTTAATTTATTCTGCACTTATACAGTAATGTAAGAAAAAATAAAACTGCTTTCTGGAAATGTACCTTTTTCATCTAAGTTTATTTTTACTACCCTATAAATGTAGGCAGGTCGATGTGAAATTATAACAAATGTTGCGATCTTTAATTGGAGTATTAATTAAAATCTCAATGGATATATTAAAGTAGAATTATAGGCTATAATTCAGTGCAGATTTTACATTCTTGAAAGATTAAAATGATTGGTGGTGCCTAATCCAGTGCTTGAACTGTTGAAATGCAACACACGATGTTCCACAGGAGTCTATGGATTTCCAAAGTGCCCTGGTGCGGAATACCACTTGTGTGACTACATAAGAAAGCTGCTCAACAAGGAAGCATACCAGCCGCAGATCCAGAAGATGTAGGGCACCTTTTGAAGTATTTAAATATATCATGAAAAATGCATGTCTTAACATACAATGTGAAAACTGGTTTACGTTATTAAATGTGTGGCAATTCCATTTTACTGCATTGCAGTCGTTTAAGTCAAGATGATGAGATTGACGTTGGATATAATTACACCTTGTTTTATAAGGGGGTGCTGCCATGGTATAATGGATAGCACACTGGACTTGCAATCCGTTGTTTGCTGGTCTGATCTCGGGGTTTTCCCACACCTCTCAATCCGCCACTATAAATGGGTACGCTGCAGTCGATCGGCAGGTCACGTCTGGTGGGATAATGTGTGGGTACTCCCACCTCTACCAAGATGTCCAGCCAGCATGGAAGAGTAGGCCAAATGCCCTCTAGTGGAGGCCCTTCTGCCAGCAGTGGCGTTCGCAATAAATCGTAGGGTTTACCATTGATATTGCAAGGACAGACAAAATATGATGCTGTTTGCTAAAAATATGCTTTATTTATTCATTCAGCCTGTCGAGACAAGAGCGCGCGGGTCACGATGGAACCGCTTAAGATGATATTGAATGGGATGTTTTGTTGAATGTTAAATAGGATTGTCCAAGCTGAATACTGGCACGACTCGCTGAATGAAGAGCTCTACATTAACAACAGTGTGTTCCTGGCCGACATTAATCAGGAGAGGGTGAGATGCTGCTTCGGTGATATCAACGAGTATATATTTTTATGGCTCCTCAATATTAATAGTCTTAACTGTGTTAACCTTGTAGATATATGACCAAAAATTATAACTAATACACATTTACATGTAATATGATGTTAAATGTCTCGATACGGCTGGCAAAAAGCCAGTAATAGTTTAGTTATTTTATGTAAAATCTAATTGCGATACCACGTTGGCAGTGGTCCATAAGCACGCAAAAGACCTCTGCTATGTCGAAGGGCCTTTGCCCGAAACATAATCCATTATACATAATTTGCTATTAGAGCAGTGTTATTGATGATTGTAAGTTTTAGTTATTTGAAATGTAGGCACAGTTTTGGAATCCATGCTACACTTTTGGATTTGTAAAACAATGTTGCAACACGCATTTAATGTTGTGGGCAGCAGTTAATTTCCCTTGTTTGTGATTCCCATTTTTCACAGGTTGTCAACCCATCGTACCGTGAAAACTTGAAGAAACTTAACAAGTTTGTGATGGTTATGTTTAACCAGGATCAAATGGTTGAACCAAAAGAGTCAGAGGTAAAAAAAAATATTTAAAAAACTGGAATTACCAAACCTAAATATGATTTAATTACACGAGATACTTAACAAAAACATATATACAGTATAGGGTGATCCAATTATATATATAACCCACTGCTTTCTAATGACCCTCGTACAGGTAGATTATAATGCCATATTCATACTGTTCTATTGATTCTTAATAAACAAATACATTCTGCAAATGTTGCAACTGGAGACATCTCTCGCAAATCATATTTCAGTCGTATCACATCGTTGTGCTCGGATTTTCCCCTGCCTATGTTAGTGGTTTGGCTTCTACAAGCCCGGACAGGCGGTGGAAATCTACAAGCTGCAGGACAGCTCCCTCTACACAGAGGTAAGTTTGCACAGCACAGCATCACCGGTATAAAATGAGTAGAAATGTGTTGTGTTGGATCACGTTGCGGATTTAACCTTGCATACTTGATATGATCCGTTTAGAGTACATTGGGACTCATGCCCTTTGCAAAGCACAACTGCATTAGCATATACATAGTGAGTTTTTATTTTGTGGGCTATTTTATAATCCGTGGTCTGTGTGCGGCGACTGGCAGAGGGCCCCCACTTGTGCTTGGTCAGCATGCGGCCAAAGGAGCTAAAGCATCTGTTTAGTGGAAAGTACACTCTCTGTTGTGCGGTTTGGCGCATTCATTCGTAATCAATTCCAAAGTATAGTTTTAATGACTCGAAAGTGAAATTAATGAGCATAGTTGTAACGGAGCCACACAGTCTGAGAGACACACAATGCACTCCCAAATTGTACAAGGTGCATTGTATGCTTTGTAATATCCATCGGCTGTCATATGAGCTTAGGCTAATTTGACTACATATATTGTAAATAATGACTATGAGGTTTCGAGCAGTTTGAAATGTGCCCAAGATAACTGGAACAGACTGAACACCTTTGAGACGCGAGCTTTTCCTTTTAAACATGAACATAATCAATTGCAGAGGAATAAAAATGACTGCAGTATTCGTGCGTTTTAGACTTGATGGATTTAAATAAGGCAAAAGTGACTTTTACACATTATAAATGTTGGGGTTGCTTGCAGGATCGCTTGGGGCTCAAGGAGATGGACCAGGCTGGGAAGCTCGTGTTTCTGTCATCCGACACGGACCATCTGCAATTCACTGACGAGTGGTTTGATGAAAATCTATTGTCCTACCTGAAATGAAGATGAGACAAATATGATGCGGGGGGTGTGAATATTTTTTTCTGAGAATGTAAAATTGCGGTAGGCTGGTGGGTTTTTTTATTATTAAATAGGGGTTTTCTTGTTGTTTTCATTGCTTCTAATAAAATGTGTCACTTGGGTAGTTGTAAGTATTTTCATGCTATACACTTATGTGGTTTATACTCTTGGGTTTTTTCGGTCAAGTCACGTAGGTAAAAAAGAAAATGAATATATTAAATTACGATGTTTCGGAGGCAACACAAGCTTCCGTCTTCAGGTGGAACCGTCACAGCAAATTTACTGGAAAATTATGGACCCTAGAATTAACTTACGTGGTTTGTTGTGGGGGTACCGTTCACACTTTTGACATCTATGGAACAAGTAAACAAGCCAATCTTTAAATGGTAATTACGCACTTTATAATAGCATATTGCTTTATTTTGCTTATATACATTCATATGATGAACAATTTTTGACACATTGTATCACTATGTTCTGCTTAACGTTGGTAAAGCTTCAGATGTATAAAATAACAGCACGTATGTTTAAATTTGCACTGATATAGAAGGATTAAATATTGCAAGTACCGTGTTAACATTTAATAGCTGCGCTCATAATACCTATATATCCAAACTTACTGCAATAGATTGACGAACAGGTAGTTTTTAGTCAGGTATCAGTCTATGCATCCAGTAGCGTTACACAGTTTACAAAGGTAAAGGGGTAGCCCTGCAGTTAGTTGCCCACACCACTGCTGCTGGAATGGCCTTGCAGTATCTTAATTTAAAACTTAGTATTTACCCATTTAGAGGGAAGGGGGGCAGCATTATCTTGCAATGATTTCCCATGCAAAGCTGGAGCAACACTTGCCAATAAAATGTTCACAAAAAATGTTGAAAGTATTTTGGTGTGCTTTGATTGTGCATGACTACCACCAAGCCACCACCCCTTATGGAATTATTTTAAAAATAAATTATTTTAAAAATGCAACGTTTTGTTGAGACAAAGATACTATGTGGCATATCCGCAATCGGGGGTTTCACACATTCCGATAAAAAGCAGAAAAAATGGCACAAATTTCCGTTTTTTTCATACGTAAGATGACACGTGCGTCTTTTTAAAATAAGCTTGTATACATGCTGATATACAAGCCACCGGCGTTGATTCTGTCAAAAAACCCTGAAATTCACGTATTGACGTTAATGTTTATGTAAATGCTACTCTGTATCGTAACAATCACCAGTCATTTAACATTTAAGGTGAGCTTAGAACAGATACACTCAAAGTAGTTTGTGAACGGTGATTTGATATCGCTAAGAAGACACGACCAGATTTTAACGTTTCAATTACTGTTCATCTGAAAATATACCGAGAGGCTCATGAGCTTAATGAAAGGCGTAATTTTCTGTTTTAATTCACACCGTGTCAACTAACGGCGCAGGAAATCACGAGTTGCGTCATGCCAAAAAAGCTGTCATTGTCCGCCCTTTATTTTGCAACCAAAGAATCCGTAACTGAAATTCCAGTTTTCGATCAATAGATGGCACGACAATACCATCACGAATGCTGACGTTCACTGCTTATGTGTTTTTGCAAAGGCAGTATTGTGGTGGGAAATGATGGTGGCTTTGGCAGGCTTTCATCCAGCAGTGGATTGACCATGGCTGATGATAATTATGCAGTATATTTCAAAACTAGAGTACTTGTACAGCTTTTTACAACCAAAGAAAATACGATATATTAGTATTGTAATGTAAGCGAACTAACCAATTGTGACATTCTGATTTAGAATCCCCTTTTGATATTAAGTAAAACCTGATGGACATTGTTTAACTAATTCTAGATTTGAAGTTTTCGTGACTGCAAGGATTCATACTCTTTGTTTTTTTCGGTAAAGTCACGTAGGTAAAATTTTTAAATAAATTAAATCACGACGTTTCGGGTGCAACACAAGCGTCCTTCTTCAGCTGGGGACAACTTAGCGAAAGCACACCGCTTAAGTGTGACACACTTGAACATGATACTTGATGTGTGACACACTTAAGTGGTTGTGCTTTCGCTAAGTTGTCCCCACCTGAAGAAGGACGCTTGTGTTGCGCCCGAAACGTCGTGATTTATTTTATTTAAAAATTTTACCTACGTGACTTTACCGAAAAAAACAATGAGTATTGTTTAACTAGATGATTAGAATATGTACAGAGGAATCAAATATTTGGGGGTTAATGTAATTTTATGTATATAAAAAAATCAATTTTCTATACAGCACTGTCAATCGACTGTTGGATGAAGGTCTCCCCATACCGTGTTGGTCATGGGGATCACTGCAACGATCCTCCGATAAATAAAAATGTTTTTGTTGAACAAGAAGAGGACGTGTTTCTTGAACATGATACTTGATATGCGAAATTATGTAAATTTGAGACAATTGTTTAGATGGAATCCATAATGGCATGCAAGTCAAGGCAATTTAAACAATAACATGTGTTTGACTACGTTTTTTAATGCGTTTAATCTGCTATAACATGGATGATCGGAAAACATGGACGTAACAAGGAAGATGGAACAAAAACTTGAAAGTACAAAAATTAGCATGGAGATACGCATGCTAGGAATTACACAGAGAAACAGAAAGAGGAACACGTGGTTCTAGATTTGACGCTTTCGTGACTGGTCACCCCGTGGATAAGAAAAACGTCAACAGGTTAGTGACATTGACTAAAGTAGAACAAATGGGCTTGGGCAGGACACGTCGCTCACAGGGATGATGGCCAATTGCCAAGAACAACGACCGAGTGACGGCTAAGGAATGGAACCCGTCCAAGAGGATGTACAGAGGAGGTAGAGTGACGACATCTGCTTGTCTGCAAGCGCTTGGTGGAGTGATCCATCGCAGGAATGTGGGAGATGGGGGTGGCTTGTGGAGACCCTCATCCAGCAGTGGATTGACCAAGGCCGATGATAAAAATGATTTTTTATAAAACACATTCCTGCAGAGGGAGCTGGTAGGAACGTTGGGTTGCTCGGTCAATGGCCAGGGTCAACGGCGGCGTGGTGTATTCCGCAAATATGGCCGACTGAGGGTGGGCACAAGCCGGCGTGAGTAGGTTAAACGTTGAGTTTTATAAGGGCATCACGGGGTGAGCAGCCCCTCCCCACCCAGCCCCACCCCTCCCAACCCCCACCCAGCCCCACCCTCCCCACCCAGCCCCTACCCATCCTCCGCACCCAGCCCCTCCCCACCCTCCCCTCTCCACCCAGCCCCACCCCTCCCATTTTTGGATGCACGACGGACGGACGGACACAATAATCCCCTGTGGGCTGGTGGTGTAACCAGGAGGTTCCTACCAGTATTAATGGTACATTTCAGGCTTCTGCAGATTTGACTATCCGTGTCATCAATTTCAGTGTAAGAGCTTCTTGTGGTGCATAAACCTGTGCACTGCTCTAAAGATTCCTCCATGAATCTTAATTTTAGAACTTTCGTTAATAATTCCTCCATGAATGTGATTAATATTCAACAGGCACTGATATTCTCTCCAAAGAATGATCCTTCAGCTACCCAGCTTAAAATTATAATTACAAGGATACCTTACAAGGCCTGTATTCACATGCAAATAACAATGGTGGTGTCATTAAAATTGTGTATATGAACATTTCCATAAGAGTTACCTGTTGCCTTCGTATGCAATTGTACCATGTAGATATAATATGATGATAAAGTTTTAACTGTTTTTTAATACTGGTAGGAACCTCCTGGTTACACCAGCCCACAGGGGATTATTGTGTCCGTCGTGCAGGGAGGGGTTGGGTGGGGAGAGTGGGGCTGGGTGGGGAGGGTAGGGGCTGGGTGGGGAGGGGCTGGTCACCCCGTGGTGCCCTTATAAAACTCAACGTTTAACCTACTCACGCCGGATTGTGCCCGCCCTCACAGTCGGGCATATTTGCGGAATACACCACGCCGCCCTTGACCCTGGCCATTGACCGAGCAGCCCAACGTTCCTACCAGCTCCCTCCGCAGGAATGTGTTGTGCCCAAAATGAAGATTAATTGTTACTCTTCAGTTAAATATTTAGACAATGCTGTAATTGAATATGTGCCTCTTGTTGATAGTCTTACCGGGTGTTAGCACACTGTTTCTTACATATGTTACCATACACTGTGAAAAACAACTTATTCAGCTACTTAACTTGTCCAGCAGTTTCTACGTGCAAACAATGTGTTTCTGTCAAGGAATTGTGAATAGAGATATTGTTCCTCATCTAAAGAAATCGTTAACTGTTTATTTTTGGTTTAGTTTGTAAGCAGAGCTTGAATTTCCAATCTTTTCACATCTCCCTACTTACATGAAGTGTGTTGTCACCAAAGTGATCTAAAAGTCCATCGTATGCCATTCAAGCATCTCTGCTGGTTGGTAAGATGAGAGACAGTGATAGGCTAAGGTCACAAACAGCACGGAAGTTAAATGCCCAATAAAGCACGCGCGGAGCGTGTGGTCACGGTACAAAATGCATTGACATTGGTGGGGACTTTTTAAGGTTGCTTCCTACACTTGGGTGAATTTTATTTAACTCCTTAAATTCCCGCTTTGAAACAGTTATCCGTTTCAATCCACTGCAATGTAGAATCAACACTGATAAAGTTGCATGCTTCAAAATTCAGTTGTGAATTGTGAGTTGTTACTCAAACCATTCGTTTAAAGATATTTGTGAGGTTAATTATTCGGACCGATTTCACCTTGGTGGGACGTCCGTTTTTAAATAGCAATTGCTCTTAGGCTTTACCCTTTCTGGATATAAACGCAGGTGTTAATTTGTTCAAACACCAACTAGACACCAATTGCAGGGCATCACGTCTGCATTAACCACACGTGCTTGCGGCAAAGCATGCAAACAATACATGCTCTGATAATATATGCATTTTTCTTTGAAACTGATTGGCCTACACCAGAGACAGCCTTGTTCTTTATGGCCTCGTCTCGCCAGTGTTCGACCAGAGAACGCCAAAAGGCGATCAGTACAAAGGCGATGCAAATATCAAAGCATTCGCAGCATGGGTTGCACAGTTATATCTATGGGACCTTATTGTGCAGCATTCAAAATAATGAAAAAATAATGTTTTACCCTTTCTGGGTTCTGTGTTTTATCTCTCTCTCAAATTTAGCATTCTCAGGAAGAACGTAATCAACCAGGTAGGGTGTTGACTGTTATGTTATCCGACTCTCTGTTGTATTACATTACATTTCTAAGTATACTAGATTTGTGTTTCTATTTCATTTTATACCTGATGATGATTGCTTGTGTTGCAATCGAAACGTCGTATGCTAGTATTTAATTAATTATTTTGTCCTTATACGTGACTTTACCGAAAGAACCAAAGAGTAATTCCTGCAGTCACGAAAGCTCCAAATTAAGTTTAATGACACAAGTATTAAGGCTGTTCAAATAAAAAATAGACGCACCTATTTGTAGGCATCAAGTCTGCATTAACCACACAAAAACAAACACGCTCTGATAATGTGTGTTTGCATGTTTTGCCACACGTGTGGTTAATGCAGCCTTGATGCCTTGCAAAATAGGTGTCCATTTGGTGTTTAAACATCGTATCACCGATGTCATTGACAGAAAGGGTAAAGGCTGTTCTTTTCCCATCATTTTGATGCTGGCAAAAAAAATCCCATAGATATGGCATTTGTTATTGTTGTTAGTGTAAGAATGTAGATTCGTGCAGCACAAACAAACCTGCCTCCCATTTTCTCTTGGAACTACAGTGCCATATCTGACACGCTGGGGACTGAGATATAATCTGCGGATATGTTAAAAGGTCAGATATGTGAATGTCTATAGAAAATGACGGTTACAGTTGGGTGTGGACAGTCAATTGGCCAAGGTGTGCATCTGTG